TTGAAGACATATTTGCTCTATTTCGAATAGGTTAGAGGGTCCAACACTACATCTAGAAAGAGCCACCCAACCATTAAATCAAAATAGGGAGATTTTCCCCTCATGGGGTGACCAAGTTTGTGGAGTAGGTGAGCGCGGAGGCCTTGGGTCACAAGTTCGATTTTCCCTACCAACACTTTTTTGGTCAAAGCTGTTGCACCGGGTTTGCCTAGTGCGGTTTATCTGGTTGGCGTAGTTTACAGGCTATTGCGTCAACCCGAGAATTTACCTAGTGCGCATCCCAAAAGTAGCGACTGCGGGTCCCCCTGTCATAAGAAAAATAAAATAGATGTTGGAAAAAATTGAGTGAGCGGCTCACTTTTGGCGCAATTTTCGATGGGTAAAAATGGTCCCATCGGTGAGCCCACGTTTTGCCAATTTTTTTTTGGCTTTCTCCAATGACTTTTGAGTTTCTAAACTGAAAAAACTCTAATGGACTCCCAATGGTCACAGTGTTAATGGGAAGTAACTCCAATGGACTCCCAATGGTCACAATATTAATCGACAATACGCCTATAAAAAAGCTCATTCTTCAGCAATCTAACACACTCGAAAATCTCACCTATATTCCTGCATAAACAGTTTCTTCTTTTCTGCATTCCTTGTCCAGTAAGGTCCTGTTCTTGTGATGATATTATTCGGATACTAGATCAGTTCGTCGGAGTAGGACCGCAGTACTCGAATTCTGCTTATTACCGTTGTATCCTGGGAGACAGCCGCTCGAATTGAACCTCCAGCACCTACAATGAGGGGGCGAAACTGTCTTAAGGAAACTGTGCACGCACATGCCTCGGTTTGAAACCTGCTGCAGTTTGTGTTTTCTTTTTACAGATTATTTTCGCATTACTATTTAATTCATGCAGTTTGTAGTTCCATAGCGTGCAGCTTCCAGATTCATCTTTTACAGTTTTAGCCTGCAGTTAACTTATATTTTTGATTTTGTGTCGCTAAACATTTTTTTTTCAACCGTTGAAAAATTCTGAAATGGAATTTTTTTGATAAATTGAAATCGTTTGCCTTGTGGTTATTAATTTCAATAATCGGCTATTGTAATTGAATAAAACTTATACAATTGGTTTCATCCACTAACGACTTGTTTTCCTACAATAGAGAGGTTCAACCACACACATATATCATACAAAACAGACAAGGAACATAAATCTCATCATCATTCAAATACTGATTGACATAGATAAGAAACGATTGACATAGATAAGAATCAGTTGACAATGACAGTGGAGTCAAAACACAGAATGCACGTCGCTAGAAGCAGTTCTAAAATACATATATACATGTAGATTACTAATTTATCACCCACGAGGAAGAAAATTAAGAAAACCACCCATACTAGTAAAGAAAGCCGATTGGATACAATGATGAAGAAGATTCTATATAATTACATGGCCAAAGCCACACAAATTAGTAGTTATAAAATTCAGAGATCAGAATTAGAGGCATTGACCTCAAATCAAGAGAGAAAGTGAAAGCGCAATGGAAGAAGATATTTCCAAATCTATATCTGAAATATTTTCTAATTTTGCCAACCAAGAATTCTTCTACTTTCCTTCAATATTTCAAAGGCTAGTTTGCATCTTTCCAAAGATGCAGTGCCTCCCTTAATATATTATCGAGCCTCTTCTCTTAAACTCCACAACATCAGGGCCTTAAAATCTTGACAGCCACCTCCTGAATCAACATCACGTATCAATACCATATTTTACATTTTTAGTCCATCGATGCAATATATAATGAGATGGAAGTTCCCGATGTTCATTATTTGGAACAAACTCAAAGCATGCCTACAAAGAACACCTTCATACTTGTACATTGTACAACCACAACTGATATTGATATTTGATGAACAGTCCTGCTACACGCCCAGAAGAAATCTAGGCAAAATCTCGGCTGATGTGGCGAAAAAAAAGAAAAGCAAAAAAATAGAAGCTATGAAAGGACCAATTAATTGATCAATACTTGACTGAATCTCCTACCTTTTCCCCCCAATTCACCCACTGTCCACACAGTAGGTTCCACCCTAGGAACTCGACTGCACTTTTCATCAATGATTTTTGCCTCCGCTCCGACCAGACGGTTGACCATCTCCAGTCGGTAGCAAAGTCAGCACCAAATTTTCGTCAAATCTAGTTTTCTTGTTTTCTTATTAAATCTTGCTTTCTCGTTAAAGACTGTGAAAAGCTGTAAAATCTAGTTTTCTTGTTATTTAAAATATATATCTCCTAGCCAGAAGCCCATATATATCTAAAGAAGAATCAAGTTCTCATAATTAGAAGCAAGGTGTTCATACTCACTCACTGGAAAATCAATTATCTAGTGTGGGAATAATTGAGAAATTCCTAGGAAATTCAAGCTAAAATTCTTGGCATGTCTATGATTATTCCAATAACAATTTCATGAGATTTCTTGGAAATTGGGACATGAATAATGATAGAATCGGGTAATAATGGCTGCACGTTTGGCTCTGACGACGAAGACAAAGAAATCGGATTTAAAAATTCTTCAATTGGCCAGATATCTACTACCGGAGATGTCGAAGTCAGTTGCTGAAAAAGGATGAAAGATTATTTACTCCAGTTTGGGGGAAAAATGGTCAACAATTTGTAAATGGAAAAATTCCAAGTCAACGTCGGTAGCTGAAAAAAGGAAGAAGATGCCTAGAATCAATTTGGAGAAAATTGATCAACATTGTGTAAATGGCAAAATTCCATTTATGTGCAAAAATAATTAATTAAGGAACATTTTCTCTTTCCCACCTGCTGGCTTCTCTTTTCCCTCCAAAAACGTTACTGTACAGGCTGAAATTTTCAAATCCCTGTCAACAGGGTGTCGTTCACCCTATTTAACAAGAATAATTGTTTGATGAATGGAAAGCAACAGTATTCCTCTCATCTCCATTTCCACACTTCTGCACCAGATATCTGCTAATCACTCCTTCTACATTAATCTTTATCCCGGCATAGCTGTAGCTTTCTAAAAGCTCTTTCTGAAACACTTTGAACATGGTAATTATGTAAAGCCTTTTACATTGTTCTTCCTCTTCACGGCGTTGTTCTAGTGCTTGCTCAAAGTGCAAAACAAATTCGTTGATGGGTGTTTGGGCAGTCAAAAGAGAATTGAAATACGATTTAAGCTTCAATCCATAGGGATGCCAGCAAAGAATGTGTCGTTTATGTGCAAAGGAACCCAACTTTTATGCATTATATACATTTCCTTTAACCAAGCACTCCCTCTCAAGTTATATTTGTTAATAAGCATATTCCAGGCAGAATCAAATTCAATGGCTGTCTGGCTCTAAAATATGCAAGTTTTATAATATATTTGAACTCAGCCTCCATGGAGATTAATGCACCCAAGTTTCCTGTTCATTTGCAATAATTTGCCACAGAAAATCGATGATGTGTTCCAGGAAAAACTTGAGCAATCGAATGCTGAATGGCCTCGTCTTTGTTAGATTTCGTGTTGGCTATTTTGTGAACAAAAGGGTAAAATTGTAAATGTTCAAAAGTTTGGGGTCAAGTTGTCAATAGTTAAAGGTTAGTGATCATTGTGTACATGTGTAAAAGATGAGGGACTAAGTTACAATTTTGACAAAGTATGCTAGGGTTTGAACTATGAAGTAGGGCAAGATGTGTCGTTGAAATTTCGCTAGCTGCTCGCCAAGTGGTCGCTCGAGCAACAAAAATAGAAAGGTCGTCGTTCGCTTCTCGCGCCCACTTCGCTCGAATGAAACAACGTCGCTCGCTTTTCGCTAGGGCGACGGTGTTACCCATAAAACCCTATTTTCCTTTTTTCGACGTTTTAACCCGACCCAAATGTCCAAATACACTGTATATAAGTAAAATTGCGCCGATTTTCAAATGTGCTCTTAAGGGATTGAAATTGAAGAAAACTCTCCACACTTTGATTCTCTCATTTAACCCCATATTTGATTCGTGCAATTACATAAAAAAATCAAATCAACATTTACCAAACACCACAACACAACCTTCTAGAGCATTTGTTCATTCTTGGAGATCAAGAAAGGAGATCGGAGTCCCGATCATTAGAGAACATGCGGTTCTCTTGAATCCACAGGAGATTGACAAAATTGAGAGCCAGGAATTGGTGTAGCACGCAATCCAGGATGCTAGGTGCCGGGAGTTGGTGCAGGATCACGCATTCTAGGAAGGCTTTGAAAAAATTATGGTCAGGATGTCAAAAAAACCAATGTGGGTTGAGTCTGGTTGATTGTAAGTTGCATTTTCATTTATGGTGGATTCCTACTAGTTTGGGCCCGGAGTTTTACCCATATTGGGGTTTCTCCGTCATCAAACAATTGTGTTATTTATCTTTCTACAATTAATTTAAAATCGGTATTCAAACATAGGATAGTAAAGCATGTGAACTGATCTGGGCAAATTTATATTTGTGACGTGTTGTAATTATTAATTGATTGAAAACAAAAATTCCGCATAAATGCCTATTCACTCCCCTCTAGGTGTTGATTGGGTCGAACTACGATATTTCAAGTGGTATCAGAGCCAAATCTCGAGTTCTGACCCATTGTTATCTAGATGACAATCACTATCCGTGCCTTCGTATTTTGACGGAAGCAACTATGCCTATTGGAAGGTTAGAATGTGTGCTTTTCTTAAGTCCCTAGATGAACGTGTCTGGCTGAGTGTATAAAATGGTTGGAAACCTCCTTCCACAACTTTGTGGGGGGTGTTATAACCCCAACTGACATTTCCCTTTAGAGTAAGGATAAATTGGCTGATTGCAACTGGAATAGTAAAGGTCTCCATGCATTATTTATGTCTGTGTCTCCTGAAGAGTTTAGAAGAATGTCAATGTACGAAACTGCTAAAAATCTATGAGACATTCTTGAGACAACGCATGAAGGAACTAAAATTGTGAAAAATTCTAAGTTGCAAATACTAGCCTCAAGGTTTGAAGAAATCAGGATGAAGGATGATGAATCTTTTGATGAGTTCTATGACAAATTGAATAACATTGTTAACTCTAATTTCAACCAAGGTGAGAGGATTCCCGAGTCCAAAATTGTGAGGAAGGTTCTTAGATCCTTGCCTAAGAGATTTAGACCTAATGTTACAACTATTGAAGAAAGAAAGGATCTGGATACAGTTAAGATAGAAGAACTCGTAGGATCCTTTCAAACCTATGACTCACCATTTCACAATTGAAGAAAAACAAATCGATAGCCTTGAACACTGTTAGGGAAGGGAAGTCTGAGTCATCTGACGTGGAAACTCTTAGAGATGAGGAGATTGCTTGCTTTGTGAAGAAATTTCAGAAAGTCTTAAAGGGCAAAAAATGGCCTCAAGAGAAAAGGAGAGAAGCCCCTAGTAAATTACAAAGAGAGAAGAATGATAAATCAACTGCTGGAAACCCTGGTAAGAAATCTCAAGAGGTTAGGTGTCATGAGTGTCAGGGATTTGGGCACTATAGAAATGAATGTCCTAGCTTTAAAAAAAATCTAAAGAAGGGGAGTAGCAAGGCATTAGCTGTGTCCTTGACTGATGATGATTCTAACTCAAGTGAACAAAGTGATTCCTTAAGCAGTGAGGAGGAAAATGGCTATATGGCTTTTGTATCTACTGTCAAGAGTGAGTCAGACAAGGAGAGTGAGAAGGTTGAAGAGGAGGTATAGAGTAACTAGCCCGGTGATGATTCAGAGGATGAGACGGATATACATGAGGCTTATCAACTTCTGTTTAAGGAAAGTCTCAAGATCAAAAAGGTAAATAAAGCCCTATTTAAGAAGTTAGACGAGCTTGAGAGAGAGAAGGAGAAAATCACCTATGATCTTCAAGTCTCATCTAAGAATCTCAGTGAATTGAAGTGTGTCAATGAGAAATTAGAGGACAGGGTCAAGATATTGACTTGTGAATTAGAGAAATCTAGCACTCAACTGCGGTCATTTGTGAGTGGAACTAAGAAACTAGACGATCCGTTAGGAATGAACAAACCAGCTGAAAATAGGCAAGGTCTAGGATTTGTGAAGAGCGATAGCAATGTGTCTAGTTTGTCCAAGACCACATTTGTCCCCGCTTCCAATAGATCTAATGTTTCAACCAATTCAGAATCCAAAGACAAGAATTTCACTGGACTGAAGGCCACTAGAGCTCATAAGATTTCTACACCTAATTTTCATGATCAACACTCACATGCATCTAAACCTAGGTTCATACCCACTTGTCATCACTGTGGTACTTTAGGCCACACGAGACCTAGGTGTCGAAAGCTAGCAAATAGGAATCGAAGTCAGGATATCCCTAGTCAAGTGAACTTCCTTTCAAATCAGGTTAGCCACTTAACTGAGATGGTAACGAGGTTGACTAGGATCACCTTGACCTCTAGAAAAGTTTAGGTAAAGAAATCTGATTTGGGTGAGTATACTGAGAATCTAAAATGTTTTGTTGCTCATGTTGCATATAAGGCTCAAAATACATGCATGTGGTATCTTAATAGTGCTTGTTCTAGACACGTGTGGTAGCAAAACCTTATTCTCTACCTTTAATGACTGCAACGATGGTGTAGTTACCTTTGGGGACGGAGCTACGGCACCCATCCGAGGGAAAGGCTCCATCTCCATTGCTGGACTTCTTACAATATCTAATGTACTTTATGTAGAGGGTCTTAAGTCTAACTTGTTGAGCATTAGTCAAATCTGTGATGCTGACTATGAAGTGAGTTTTGTCCAAAAGAGATGTACTGTTTATGACGCTTCCGGTGGTGTTGTTCTTGAAGGTGTTAGAATATCTGATAACTGTTATGGAGTTCTTCCAAACTCGAACTATGTATGCAGTAGTGCTAAAATTGATATGTCTGAACTTTGGCATCAAATGCTCGATCATGTTAACTACAGAAGTCTATCTAAATTGGTCAAAAAGAAGATTGTCAATGGTTTACCTAAGATTGATCAAAGTGAGAATGCTGTGTGCAAGCTGTGTCAACAAGGAAAGCAACTCAGGATGAACCATAAGCGAACCTTGAAATTCTTGACAAATAGACCCTTAGAGCTTCTCCATATGGATTTAATGGGACCATCTAGGGGAGAGAGCCTAGGAGGCAAACGGTATATTCTGGTTGTGGTAGATAACTTTTCTAGATACACCTGGATTGACCTGTTAAGAAAAAATCTGAGACGGGTGATCTGGTTAAGACCTTATGTAAAAGACTCAAAATTGAACAAAATCTTCCTATTTGAAGTGATCATGGGAAATAATTTGAAAACCTCAATCTAGAAAACTTCTGTTTGGAGGAGGGGATTAAGTATGAGTTCTCCTCACCAATCACTCCACAGCAAAATGGAGTTGTTGAGAGGAAGAATATAGTGCTTCAAGAAATGGCTAGGGCCATGCTTCACGACAAGGATCTAACAATGCATTTCTGGGGTGAAGCTATTAACACTGCATGTCGCATAGTAAATAGGGTATACTTGAGATCGAAATCAGACAAGACTCCCTATTAGATCTGGAAGGGCAAGAAGCCTGCTGTTAAATACTTTTGGGTGTTTGGCAAAAAGTGTTACATTATGAGGGATAGAGAAAATCTAGGCAAGTTTGATTCCAAAAGTGATGATGGGATTTTTCTAGGATATTCTAAGAACAGTAGAGTCCACCGAGTTTACAACTTGCGTACTCAGAGTGTCTTGGAATCTGTAAATGTTGTTATTGATGATGCCTTTACTGAGGGAGAGAGTGCTGAAAATGGGGTTGACATAGAAGATCTAAGTGATGATCAAGGAGCCACTGCTGAAAATAAAGAGCAATCAATTCCAAAATCTCCACGCTCCTAGAGAACCATCTTCCAGGGTCAAATCTAATCATCCTAAGGTTAACATCATTGGGAATTTAGATGAAGGTATGAGATTATGAAAGAGAGTTCTAAATAACCTAACATATTCTAGCTATGTATCCCAGATTGAACCTAAGAAAGTAGAGGAACCCCTTAGAGATGAATGCTCGATGAATGCCATACATGAGGAGCTTAATCAATTTGTTCGAAATAATGTTTGGTATCTAGTTCCTAGGCCTGATAACTGTAATGTGATAGGTACTAAGTGGATCTTCAAGAACAAAACCGATGACGAATGTACCATAACTAGAAATAAAGCTAGACTAGTTGTCCAGGGGTACACTCAGGTGGAAGGGGTAGATTTTGATGAGACTTTTGCCCCAGTTGCTCATCTTGAGTCCATTTGTATTCTTCTTGCGATTGCATGTTCTTTAGGGTTCAAGCTATATCAAATGGATGTCAAGAGTGCATTCTTAAATGGAATACTTCAAGAAGAGACATATGTTGAATAGCCAAAAGGATTCATTGAACCTAAGTTTCCTCATTATATCTACAAACTCAATAAAGCACTGTATGGTCTGAAACAAGCTCCTAGAGCTTGGTATGACAGACTCACCACTTACCTCGTTGAGCATGGGTTCTCACGAGGTGGTGCTGACAGAATCTTATTCATTAGACATATTGAAGAAACTATCACTGTAGATCAGATCTATGTCAATGACATCATCTTTGGCTCTTCCATTGACTTCCTTGCTCTTGAATTTGCTGAATGCATGAAACAATTTGAAATGAGCATGGTTGGAGAGCTAAGTTACTTCCTTGGTCTTCAAGTAAAGTAAACTAATTGTGGGCTATTTATCTCTCAATCAAAATATGCCAAAGACCTTGTGAAGAGATTTGACTTGGACAGTAAGAATCACACAAGGACACCCATGAGCACAATTGTTTAGTTAGGACATGATCCTACATGTAAGAGTGTTGATTAGACTGTGTATAGGAGCATGATAGGCAGTCTACTATACCTTACACCCAGTAGACTTGACATAGCGTTCAGTGTTGGAGTATGTGCTAGATTTCAAGCTGATCCTAAGGAGTCCCATCTAAGTACAGTGAGGCACATTATTAGATATGTCAATGGGACAGTAGATCATGAAATCTCGTATTCTAAAGAGTCCGATCTAGAACTAGCTGGCTATTCTGATGCCGATTGGGCCGGAAACGCCGATGATAGAAAAAGTACCTCAGGTGGATGTTTCGATGTTGGTTCTAATCTTGTCTCATGGATGAGTAAGAAACAAAACTCAATCTCCTTGTCCAAAGTCGAGGCAGAATACATTGTAGCTGGTAGCTATTGCACTCAACTGCTTTGGATGAAGTAAATGCTGAGTGACTATGGGATAAATCAGGGTACTATGACTATTTTTTGTGACAATACTAGTGCTATCAACTTATCAAAAAATCCTATTCAGTATTCTAGGACCAAACACATTGACATTAGTCATCACTTTATTCAAGAGATAGTTGAGTCCAATGTGATATCACTCGAACACTTCTCTACTGAAAATCAACTTGTCGATCTGTTCACTAAACCTCTAGATGGGTTTAGATTCGAGTCACTTAGGAAGGTGTTGGCATCTGTGTTCTTCCCTGATCGTCTTCATAGATGCACGAATTATTTTCTGCATTCCTTACATTACCTATTTGTGTTCATTTGCATCTGTTTAATTTTGGCGTTAGAAAAAAAAAATGAAGGTCCTTAATGACAGAGGGAGAAAGAACAGTTTTACACTATATTTTAACGAATTATAGGTCCTAGTGACATTGGATTTGACCTTCAAACATCTGAGTGTTGACTCCTATGTCGGTGATTTGGCTGTCTTTTTCCACAAATTTAAGGTTTTGAGTCTTACTTGCATGTAATGAGTGGCACATTTCACGTGGGGTCACATATACAATTTACTCCATCTGTACTTGGTCCCGGTGTGTGGAGAAATATTTTCTAATCATTGTGCATGCCGTATTTGTGATCTATTGCATTTGATTAGACCAACTGCTTCTGCATTGTTCATGTATTTAAAAAAAATAAAAAAATTTGGGGTCAAAATTCAAATTTCTGGAAAAGGTGCTATTTTTGAAAATTTCTGAAGTGCTGTTACTTTGCAAGGTTTTAAACCTGGAGCTAGCTTTTCAAATTTTCAATATTCAGTGCTATTTTTGACATTTTCCCTCCGCTCGCTTGCCGTTGGCAGCTCACTCGAACGATGAAAATAGTGTGCTTGTTCCTCGATGTTCGCTCGAGTCTCGCTAGAGCGACAGCGAGACTTTTAATTTTCTCGCGAAGGGTTCCGGGTGACCCTCTTTGTCGATTTGCACTTCAATTCTTACGTGCCGGGCTTCAATTCCTCATCCTTGTGTGCATTCATTGGTGTTTCTTTGTTCCCAATAGGTAAGTGCATCGCTTAACCCATTTGTTTATTTTTTTTCTTCGGAATTGGGGATTTTGAGATTGGGCATTTCTTGAATGTTGGGTGGATGGTGTTGTTAAGGTATGTTGGGTGTCTATTAGGTTATTGCATTTGTAGGTCATCTTCCTTATATTTCAAATGCCTGCAACGTGTTCGATGAAATGTCTCATCCCCACTTCCCTACTTCATTTGCCCATTGTGTGACATTCCTCACGTGTGCTTGGTGTTTGGACCCTTGCTATGTCGTTTTGGTCCCTATTTTGGGTCGGCACTTATTGGTTTTAGTGTTGACACTCATCCTTGTAGTGAGTGCCTTCCGTCCTTTAGCCGTTCTTGTTCACGTCTAGGTCACGTCACTTACATCTTGGTTATTGTCCTCCGACTACAGTGACATGTGTTATCTCTGGCTTGCATGTTTACCACTTGTGCACCACTCTTGCATCGATTTGCATGCCTGTGTGTGGTTGAATTTTAGGACTTGTGTAGTGATGTGTCTCCATAAATTAGTTTTCCTTAAGGATTGATTTGTCTTCTACATCTCCCATTGCAGATAACACCTAAGAGGGCTAGGACTACAGTTCAGCTTGGTAGTGGATCGGCTTCGTTTAGTCGATCTAGATTCATTTCCTCTACTGCTCAAGAGGTATTTGGGAGCCAATTTTCCCGTCGTCCTATCCTAGTAGAGTGTGAGGTCACTCTATCCGACCTATCCCCTGATGTAGCAGCTATCTTTACTTCTCGATGTTGGGAATCCTTGCTGATTGGGTTAAATCCCCCGCCTAGTCTCATTTTTCAGGAGTTCTATGCAAACATCCATGAAATTAGTGGTTCGTCCTTCAGGGTGTTCCTTCGACGTTAGACCCTTAAGATTTTACCAGATGTTCCGGTTCCATACATGTTCCCCGGGTCATTTACCCCGTTGACCCATATCTGTCGGCTGATTCTATTTCGACCGACTCTATGGTTCTGTCCACCTTGTTTAATAGTCCTTTGGGAGGTGGGCCTAAGGCGATCCGCACTGGTTTCCTCCCCATCGATCGACAGATTTTGTTGCACATTGTGTGTACGAATCTGTGGCCCGTCTCTTACACTTCTTCCCTACCTATGGAAAAGGCGAGGTTTCTTTTTGCTCTACTACATGGGGATTCGATTGACCTACCTACCTTCATTTACCAGCACATTCTGCGTACCTTTCGCATTTCTGGTCATCGGATTAGTCTTCCTTATGCTTGCTTGATCCACTGTTTGTTGACATCACTTGGGGCTTCATTTCCCGATGGGGTCTCACAATGAGCGCTTCGTCCCATAGGGCAAACTACCATCTCTCAAAGTAGGTCACATGTCACTTCTTCTGCTTTTGCATTTGCTCCTATTGAGCCAGCTGAGCCTGTCGACCTGTGCCCGCTGATCCTTTGGGTGATTTACTTGCTGATCTCTTAGCTATTCCTCCATTTCCTTCCGATGTTCCTCCGTCCACTTTAGATATTCCCTCTTCTTCCACTTCTATTCCGCCACCCGCCTCGCCTGCTCCGGCTACTATTCCTGTTGACCCCACTGTCGCTCTTATGGGTCAGATGTCTATTCTCATTGAGCAATAGGCCCGCATGATGGCCGACATTACTCAATTACGAGTTGCTTCCGAGCGTCATATAGCGGAGTTTGCTACATTGCGGACGGCTATTGCTCTTGTTCAGTGCGGTATTTGGCGGATGCGCGAGCACTGGGATTATGAGTGATATGATCTAGGAGTCGAGCCCAACGAAGGCAAGTGCAAGACGAGACCCGTTGATAGTCGATGGTGGACCAATGACACGATCAAGGGCAAAGCAAGTGAAATAAGCGATGGGATTGCTCGTTCAAGAAACCATTGATGGAACCATGTTCGGGACTCAAAATGAGCAACTTTCATGTTCGGGTCGAAGGTCGAATCAACTTGGATCAATTTGTTGCACACATGTATACCGAAAACCAAAAGTGCAATTTCAGTTGAACCATGCGGCCGCACAAGCCAAAAATTTGGCGAATTTTTCAATTTTGGCAATTTTCCATATTTTGTTAGATTTTGATTCTTTTCCATATTTTGAAAATTATACTCGACTTTTGCACGATTTTTACCTAGTTTTTAGGTTTAGTATAAATAGGAGTTTCCATTCAATTGTTAAAAACCTTTGACATTATTGATATTAAATTAAAAGTGAGACGTATTGTCTTTTCTTCATCGTTCTTCATTAAACAATTTCGAACTTATCAAGTGTTAACTTGTTGCGTTCAAACAATCGGATATAATTCTTGGATTGCGTGATCAAGGGGTCCTTCAAGCGTCGTTCTCGTTGGGTTTTTTGGTTCGACTTTCTTTTGGGTTAATCCTAATCTCTTGGATTAATTTGGCTTTCTTGGGTTCGTCAATCTCGTTGTGGGTTTCGTAGTCAACGTTGCTATGGGGTTCGCATCAGTTAATATCAGAGCCAGGTTCCAAATTAATTGAAGGGTATATCTTTTCTTTATTTGTTTGGGTCGTTAATTTTTCTTTCTTAGT